AACGCATCGCCTCCTCGTGGAGGCCCTCAGCCGCCCCCGACGCCCTGCTTCGGCCCACCTAAAGCCAGCCTCCGAGTGCCCTCGGCAGGGCCTCGGGGGCAGCAATGAGCTTGGACGAGGAACGTGCCGCCTCCGCATCCTTTCCTTTCTGGAATAGTAGGCGATCACGTGTGCTCCCGATCCTTCCCACACCGCCTGCCACATGCCACCGAAGTGTCATTGACCGTGACGGCAGCGGCAGTGCGTCACTGTGTCCCCACAATGCTCTGCGCTTCAAGGAGCTCTCACACATTTCACCGAGCCCTGCCTCCTGAGCTACACTCCTCTGTCTCCCCCCCTCTCCGTCTTCCCACTCTGCAGCTTTAAGTCTATTGTTTTGGTTTGTTGTTGTAGCTGTTGTTTGGTTAATACTCATCTGGGGATATTTTTTCCATTGATCTTTAGAGAGAGTGGAAAGGGAAGGGGAGAGAGAGAGAGAGAGAGAGAGAGAGAGAGAGAGAGAGAGAGAGAGAGAGAGAGAGAGAGACATTGATATGAGAAAGACATGTAATTTGTTGCCTTTGCATGTGCCCAGACTGGGGCTGGGGATCGATCTGTAACCTAGCTACGTGCCCTTGAGAGCAGGTGGCCGGCCCAGCAGGCACGGATGGCCTCGGGCCAGCACTAACCAATGAGTGACATCAGCCAGGGCTAGCTGCCTAATTTCTGAAATCATCACCTCTTAGTTTTCATTGGAGTCTCTGCTCTTTGGTCTGACGTTCCGACTTTAACCCAGAGAGGAGAGGCTGTGGCGGCGTGGCCTGGGGAAGGGCATGGAAAAGGAATTTCAGAGACAGGACAGGGAGTTCGGGAATACAGGGTCCACGGAGAGAAAGGCGTTATCTTACAGGGTGGAGAGATGCCCCGGGACAGGGGCGGGGAGATGAGCGCACCACGTGGGCTTGGAGCTTTGAAACTGATACTATGTAGCTGGGTGACCAGAGGAAAGCACGGGGGTCCCAGACTAAGGAAGGTCCAGCTAGAAAGGGTCAGGGTCCAACAAGAACCAAGCATACACAACCCGGAGACAAAGGGGTGAGACAGGTTTTTGGTTGTTTGAGGGGGGGCGGGAGAGAGAGAGAGAGAGAGAGAGAGAGCGAGAGAGAGAGCAGGCTTTTCCCATGAGGGGCCGGTCACCTTTGGGGACACCCCAGCCCAGATGGAGTTTGTATGTGCTCCCAATGAACTACATTTTTATTAAAGAAAGCTGTTAGTCCATGAGTTTGCTCTTCTCTGTCGGACAAGGACACGCTGAAGTCTGCACCCCGAGCCCCCATCTCACCTGGAGGGGAGCAGATGGCAGGCCGGCACGCTCCCCCTGAGACCGCGGCCTTTGCTGGTGTACCGCGTGCTCCGCCTGTTCTAGCTGCTCAGCCCACAGTGCCGTGCTCTGACCACAGTGACCGGGGTACTTTGGTGTTTCTGACATCAGCACCCGGCAGTGGTTTCCTCTGCTTCCGCTCCTTGCTGGCTGTTTGCCTGAGTTAAAGCAAGTGTGAGCGACAACTGCATTGCAGGGACAGCGCGCTGCCAACCCTGGATGCCAGCTCACCCCCTTCCTCCGCGCTGGTGCTGTCTGCGGAGCCTCACTGCCTCTGGTTTGGCTCCTGCCTCTGCCAGACATGCCGGCAGGTAGCAAAGTCACTCCTGTAAGGGCAGACAGTCCCCGGGCAGGCGGTGGCCGATTTGGGAGCAGAACACGTGCCGGCACAGTCCCCGAGTAACTGGCAGTCGGCGATGACACGGGCATCCATACATGATTTAACGGTGCCATCCCGTTGCCCAAAGGCATTTACAAAGTGTCTCACTGTGTCCTGAGGAGAAAATCAAGAGCTCTGCCCTGAGCCCAGACCAGCGCCCCCCAGTGTCAGAGATGGGAACTAAAGAATGCCATGGATCCCCGAGGAGCTCAGCAGAGAGGAATGGCAGGAGAGGGAATAGTCCAAGTGCCAGGGGAGAGGACAGGCAGGGGGTCTGGCTCCGAGCAGGGGAGGCTGAGCAGAGGGTGGAGACCTTGCTGGGCTCTGAGGCTCTCAGCACAACTGAGCAGATAGAGAATCCCGACACCTGGGTGTGATGCGTCCCAGGCCCCACAGACAGTTTCTGGGATGCGCGGAGTCAGCCACTCTCACCACCTGCCCCGCCCCCACCGGACAGGCCTGCCTCGCTCCCTGTGGGTCCCTCCTGCTTCCACCCTGGCTTCCTAGCTTCTCTTCTCCACGTGCCTCCCACCAGGCGACCTTTCCCCAGGAGAGCGCCATCCGTGCCCGCTGCGCTGGCCACCCGCTCTCAGGAGGATGGTGGCATGGCCTGGGGGCAGCCGGGGCTCCTCTCTGTGGCTCCCAGGCCCACACTGGCCTCCCCGCTCCGCTGGGTCCCCTCTCTCACCCACTGTCCCTGCCTGGCGCAGCCTCCTGCTGTGCTCCACCTGGGCGTGTGCTCTCCGGGGTCGGCCATGCCTTGCTCTGCTCCAGCTGTTTCAGCAGAATGCCAGGGACAGCAGCTTTCACGGGAGCGACCACCTGCCAGCTCTGGAGACTGGGAGTCCGCGATCAGGGGCTGGGTCTGCTGTGCTTCCTCCTGGGCTGGACCACCTGCCTGCTCGCCTTGGCCTGTCCTGATGCTGGTGGATGGGGCGGGTGGGGGGCGGGGGGCGGCTGGGACCCAAGCTCTCTGGCATCCACTCATACGAGAGCATCATAACCTAACCCTAATCTCCAAAAACAGCCTCCAAATGCCGCCGCTTCGGGGCTGGAGCCTCAGTGAGTGAGTTCAGGGGGACCCGGCACCATCTACAGCAGTGACCTGCTGCCACTCAGCTGCCGTTCTAATGTCACTGTGAGGGAGCTCCCTGCCTCCCTGCAGGCGGACAGCTCCCAGGACCCCTCGCCCCAGCGGTCTCTTCTCTTCTTAATGGATCCAGCTGTTTGTTATTTGTCCTCTCGCCTTGTGCATCACATACAAGAAAGGAGCAGAAAAACCGAAAGCCACGCAGTTTAATAACCAGGGCATGGCCTTTGGCTTTCACTGCGGCTTCTGTGGCTCTCAGAACAGGGTCTGCCAAAGTAAGCCCGATCCAACAGGAAACAAGGTTGTCTCAGCATAGCATTCTGTCCTGATTCCGTGCTTATGCTCAGTCTTATTTTTAGGGCTAGAAGGCCACTTTTTAATAGATAAGTTTTGGGTGACAAGTAAGAATACTGGTAGACATTTCTAAGCAGCTGTAGAACTATTTCCTGCCAAAGCTATAATGGCTCCAGAATTTTAATTTTTTTTTTTTTGTAACCTTTCCAGGAGGATATGTTTTCCATTGATTTTCAGAGAGAGTGGATGGGAGGAACTGAGGGGGGAGAGAGAGAGAGAGAGAGAGAGAGAGAGAGAGAGATGTGAGAGAGACATGGTGTTTGGTGGCCTCCCACACATGCCTTGATCGGGGCCCGGGATCGAACCTGCAACCGAGGTCTGTGCCCTTGACCAGAAATGAACCTGAGACCCCTCTGTGCCTGGGCCGACGCTCTAACCATTATGCATCCTGCCGGGACACTCAGAATTTTCTTTATTTGATAACCTAAGGAGTGAATGTCAGTTGTTTAGAGTTGAATTTTTCTTTATTCGAACCCTAGATAGTCCCTGCTATGTATGTGGTGTCAGGCATTCATTATTTGCCACCCCGAGTTGAGTGTCATGTTTGTTTGACTTGCAGCAACCGGAGGCGCTCTGAGAACTAGCGGTCCCGGGTGAAGCAGTGTGGGTGCACTGCGTCGCCCGCGTTTTGAGGTCATCTCATTCTGTTTCACCCTGACTTGGAGCGTATGGGCGGCATCTATGGCTCCAATGGGTGTTTGTGACCCGTGTGTGGGCAGACGTGGAATCCTCCGTCTGCCGTGTGACTGTCTCTACTTGCTCTGGAGAGTCCCGTCGCCCTTGTACAATGAATCAATACAATTATAATACTAAGATAGCCCTATTCTGTTTCTAACTTACTATCAATTATCAACACTACTGCCTTCTCTCTCAAAGGATCCCCGTTTGAACTGTAAATTATACAATCACAATAATCTGAAAGGAACTAAAAATTTGGTCTCAGCAGCCAGTTTGCCTGATTAAATTTCTAGATTTATTCAGCCTTTATCATCCCAGATGTCACCCCCAATCTCTGTGACAATGCAAATATGGGGGGGGGGAGGCTGACACCCAGCGTGGGGACAGGTGAGGTGCCTTGACAGGCAGCTCCCCTTGCACCTGGGTGTCTGCAAGCCTTGCATGGGAGCTACAGGAGGCGGGAGAGGCTCAGGGGTGAGCAGTGGGCAGGCTGATTGAAACGGGCACACTGCGAGCGCTGAGCAAACGTGGGGTTCGGTGCTGAGGTTAACAGTGTGAGGTGCATGAAGAGAGGTGAGAGAGGACTTAGGGCTGGGAATGTAACATATTGGGGTGATTCTGTGGGGTTCATGGTTTGGCTGCAATAAAAAGAAAACCCTGCAATGATTGCTCAGTTTGTTGGCTGGAGAAACATTAAGTTCATACAAAAGCTGCAAACATAACAAATATCAGACTCTTTTCGTTGTTGTTGGTTCTCACCTATAGATATGTTTTTCCTTTGAATTTTAGAGAGTGGAAGGGGCCAGGAGGAAGAGAGAGAAACCTTCATGTGTGAGAGAGGCAGCAATTGGTTGCCTGCTGCCCAAGCCCAGATTAGGCCGGGGATGGAACCCACAGCCCTTTCATCCATGGGCCGAAGCTCTAACCACTGAACCGCCGGCCAGGGTGCTGATTCTTCCTTAAGGTTTGCCCCGGTGCAGGGAAGACAGCGGCCCAGAGCCGAGCTCAGTGTTCCTGCAGGGATGAGCATGGGCCTCGCTAGGGTCTTCGTGTCTTGGGTCTTGAGTCACGTGGAGACCATTGATGGCTCGTCCTTTCCTGGGTTTCCCTCACAGTTCCTCTCCACATTGTTGTTTCAGGAGCTGGTGGGGAGCAACCCGCCACAGAGGAACTGGAAAGGGATCGCCATCGCGCTGCTCGTGATCCTGGTCATCTGCTCCCTGATCGTCACCTCCGTCATCCTGCTGACGCCAGGTACGCTGCTCGCCCAGGGCCGCCACTGCCGGCCACAGCGCCGCCCCCCAGTTCCTTTCAGTAACAACCCTCCACACCTACCTGCCCCAGGTCACAACGCCCCCGGTGGCTTTGGTAAATCCACCGCCGCTGTGCTTGCCAGCCAGGACCCCGGCTTCTGGCTAAGTGGCGCTCCTGGTGGGAGTGCATTGATACCAGGAGGCAGCTCCTGCATTGAGCATCTGCCCCCGGTGGTCGGAGCGTGTCAGTGACCAGTCATTCTGGTCATTCTTCTGTAATGGTAGCTGGACTTTTATTTTATAGATATTGTGACATATTTATGCATTTCAGTTCGCTATTATATGTTTTGAAACTTGATTTGCTATTTTTTTATATCACTTCATTTTTTAAAACAATTTCTTAGTGATTTCTTCCTTAGTACTTCAATTGTCTTTTATAAATATTTCTCTTTTTCGCATCCAGCGTGGCTAGAGAGCTGTCTGATTCCTGAATAGGGGTGACAGGGAATTGAGAAAATGAAAAAGACAGATACAAATATAGTAGAGAAAGCTGGGACTGGGGGGGACCACTATCCTCTGATGGAGAGGCATGGACCCAGAGCCAATACAGCAGCTTATTTTATACAGCAAAAAGCAGGAAGTTTTACTAAAACCCAAGATAAAGAAGATTATGTGCATTCTTGTGGCTTCTTTGTAATGCTCTCTTCTGGGTGGGCCTGGATAATCATGTTTGTTCCTGGTGCTTGGCAGAATTTAGATAATGAAACCCACCCCCTGGCGCCTGAGCTGAAGGTCAGGCTGACAGCACACCTGCCTCTGCTCAGGTGTGTTTCCAGGACATGGCTCTGCCATTGCCACTGGATTCAGCTGACAATAATTAAAGAAATGCTCATGTGCCTTTCCAGGTGCTCTCTACATCTCCCTCTTCTTTATTTTTAAATGTAGCTTATGGGCATCTAGTTGGAGCCTTCACATTTGAGATCTGAATGAAAGCAGGATAAAATTAGTGGTACACAAAGAAATTCTATTATGTATCAGACAGTGTGTTTTAGCATATTCCATGGATTAAATTCTTTTAAATCATCTAGCAATTCTTTTGCCAATTTTGCAGGAGATATAATTTTATCATGACTATTCTGATTGGCTTGCATGTGTTTGTGTAGCCACACTAGGTCTATACTGATATTATTATGATGCCATATTTCCTGTAGGTTCATCTTGATTTTATTCCAATCCCATAGAGAACTGTCATAGCGGGCTGAAGTCACACAAATACATGTAAAAGCAGCATGGCATTGCAGCTGCCGTCTCATCTTGGCACTTTCTAACTGATTACCTAGTCCTATCACTACAGCTTCCAAAGCATTTAGCTTTGTTTCTAGCCTTTTGTCTATATCTTCTTGATCATGAAATGTAGTTGAGGTGTTCTGAGCCAATTCATTGACAAACTGCATTCTGGATGCTTTGGGTCAATGCCAGAGAAGCAGTTACAGCAGATGCGATAACAGTAACTAGGGTAATAATACCAAAAATAATAAGTCCCAAAGCACTCTTTTCCTGGAACAGCTGACTGTGCAGTTCCTGCAATGCCTGGAGGCCCGCATCATAATGCCATTTTCCTTTTATATTGGTAGGAAGCATAATACAAGAAGGCTGCTTTAAAATTAATATATCTTCATTCAGGTTATGCCTGGAGACACAGCTGGTAAGGTTACAGTACGGCATTTGGCAATATAATGGGTGTTCCATCTGGTGATGTTCACATTTCCAGTCACCAGTACATATGAGGGCTGGACACAGGCTTGTAAGCCATAGCAAGAGCTTGATGAACATAGTCCTAAAATATCAGCTAAGGAAGAGCCAGTAAAATTAAGACAGTCAAGGGCAGCAGCTAAATGCCAAAGATCTTTCTGTAAATTTCCTGTTTTTGTGGTCAGGGCATTCCCTATCCAGGGGTCCTCAAACTTGTGGGGGCCAGATCACGGTCCCTCAGAGAGCTGGAGGGCAAGACTATATGAACTACTAATTCCTACTGTAACACCTCGGCTGCGCTCACTGCCCAAAAAACCTGGCGGGCCGGATCAGACTCCTCTACGGGCCGCATGTGGCCCGCGGGCCGTAGTTTGAAGACGCCTGCACTCTCCTGGAAACATAGACTTGTGATGGGGATATTTAGCACAAAGCCTGTGAGACCAATCCAATACATACAAGTCAGAGCCAGAAATATGATGTCTCACTGGTACAGACAGAGTTGGCACAATCTTGCCATTGAGGAAATGCTTCCTGCTCAGTAGGGGTGCTGTTAGGACAATAAGGGAGTCGGGAATGCTTATCAGACAGCCATTGGGTGGCCTTAGGAAACCCCAGTTTAGTAACTGTCTGAAGATATTTTCTCATATCCCAGGGGCCTGTGATGTTAGCAATGTCTGCACCTTCATAGGACATCTTATTTTCTTGGCCAAGCTGCAAATATCCTGAAGTCCCCTTTTCAGATAAACAAATAGGGAGCACCCCACTAAAACCATTTATACTAATAAAAGAGAAAGATGCAAATTGACTGTGCCTCCATGACACTCACCAGCCAATCAGGAGAATGAAAATTAGCCCAACAAAGATAGCCGGTTAATTTGCATATACAGGTGCCAAGGGGGCGGTGTGGCACCAAGTAGCCTGGGTCCCGGGGACAGGCTCCAAGCCCACAGCCTCCCAGGACCATCACCAGCCCAGGAGGCGAGGGTGGTGGTACCAAGCCATACCTGCAGGCTCCCGGGACCATTTCTGGTCCCGGAAGGCGAGGGTGGCTGTGCAGCTTGACAACAGACAGCAGGGCATGCTTGGCTGTAGCCACTGAGACCTACGAGCAGGCAAGTGGGTCTGCAGGCAGCACCCAACAGGTCCTGCTTGGCCCTCACCTGCAGCAACCCAGGAGCCTGCAGACAGCACCCAGAAGGGCCTGCTTGCCCATTGCCGTGGTATGGGAGCAGGCAGGCCCTGCAGAGAGCAGAGAACCATGGATAGCAAGCCTAAGCCATCAGTCTGACATTCCCTGAGGGCTTCCGGATTAGGGATGGTGCAGGTCGGGCTGAGGGACCCCCTCCCATGCATGAATTTACTGGGATTCATAGCAACTTAATCTCCAGGTCGGAGACAAGCCTCTGAGACCATATTAAGCCTCTGGTAACCTTCCACTATTAGTTCCCCTTGAACTTTATTTGACCCAGGGTGTGGACAGTAAATGACACTAATTGGATTTCTGCTATCAGTCTTTTTGAGTATAGTGACATAAGCTTTGGCTAGGGAGGCAAAATACAAATTATTTACTTTTAAGTGTCCTTGGTTTAGGGAAGATAGGATTTACTAGATGGTCCCAAACTGCTTGGGGTTTATATTTTTTAGATGGTTGAAAACTGCTATTACATTAGAGTCATGAAATTAGAAAATTGACTCTGTAGGTCTTTGCATATACCTAATAAAAATTTTCTAAGGATTTCTAAGTATATTGAATAAATTTGTCATTTCTCCCATAGAGATTTTTAGATAAGTTCTTAACTAATTAATGTCCTCTAATAACCTTTAAAAGTCATTTAAGGTCTTGAGGCAATCCTTTCGTATGTCTACCTTTTGAGGCCTAATACTTTGATTTTTTTTAATATATATTTTATTGTTTTTGTACAGAGAGGAAGGGAGAGAGATAGAGAGCTAGAAACATCAATGAGAGAGAGTCATTGATCAGCTGCCTCTTGCACCCCCCCACTGGGGATATGCCCACAACCAGGGTACATGCCCCTGACCGGAATTGAACCCGGGTCCCTTCAGTCCCCAAGTCGACACTCTATCCATTGAGCCAAACCGGTTTCGGCCTAATACTTTGACTTTTAAGTACAGTTCCTGGGTATTTGAAGGGCATTTTCCACTGTATTTCTCCCCAACGCACTCTCTAAGCCACATTTAGGGAGTTTCCTTTAAATACTTATACTTTCTTTTAAACAGAACAACTAACTAGGTTGCCTTTTCAGAAAAACTAGGAGAGAGACATGCTGGCCAATACTGCAATGCATACATCTCAAGTAAAAGTAACTTTCTTTTTCTTCATGGTGTCTCATCAATGGTGAGATTTAATGCCCGAATAATAACTGTTAATTTATAAATAGTTGGGGAAGAGATTTTAAAATTTCTTCTTTTTAAATTTACTTTTAAACAGTATTCTTCTTGCAGATTTTTACTGTGGAATTTGTTAGAACCAATTGCTTATATGTATTTAAATAGAACATAGTTATTAATTTTTATTTGATAAAGCTTCCCACATGATTTTGAGAATATTAGATTGGCTTAATTTAGTTTTAAAATATTTCTTTTAAGAGGAGAGAATAAATCCTTGAATCATTCTAGGGCCCTTGAAATGTCCCAAAGCTATATCTCGGTTAAAGACTTGAAATTTAACTTGGAAAGACTATCAAATATACATAACCCAAAGATTATATTATACAGTTTTTATAATTATTTCTAAAAGACATCAATTTAATTCAAACTGGTCTCAACATTAAAAATTTGGTTCAGGCCACAGAATTAATTCTTAACCTCTAATTAGGCCAACAAAATACCATATCCTAGGTTGAAATTCCACCACACGCAATACACATAAAGACCACAATACGCTCTGAACCACCAATCTCTCCAGAAAAAACACAAGAACCATTCCTCTCAAAGATGAACCTCCACACTCCATGCACTGTGCCTTCACAACCATACAATTCCTCCCATCCGCACCTGAACTCCAAACTCCCAGAAGCCTCACACTCTAGCCATTAAGCCAAACACCTAGCGTTTCTCAGACTATCAACATATCCACATCTCTAAGGGTATATTTCAAACAAAACACAGGCACTTTCAATTAATAGACTCAATTCTATCATTTAGATTTTTCATATGAGGCGAACTCAGATTGATATTTCATTGCCTTGTCATTTTCAAATGCCGTACCTAGATATTTAATAATTTTTATTATTTAATTTAGCAATGTTCCAAAGTCTTTAAAGTTACCAAGGACTTTGGAAAACTATGTTTACTCATATATAATTACCACTTAGTTATGTATATTTTGCCTTAACAACTTTGAGATTTTTAGAGTCAATTATTATTACCCAAGGTATTTTCTTTGGCAAATTCTGTAACAAAGATAACTTACTGACTTTCAGTGGCTTTAATGTTAAAGTATTATTTTATTTTATTTTTCTTTATAAAAATAGGAGTGCCCCAGGACCTGTGAGGCAACCTTGGAATGAAGTCCATTATTATTAAAGAACTACCCATTATTATGGAAACACTGCACTTGTTGCCTAAGTGCAGCCTATATATTTTCCTTATGTCATTCCCGCCCCCCCCCCCCCCCATTCTTTAAAGAAAAACAGGCTTGGGGTTTATTCTATAGCATCCGTGAAGAGATATGGGGTTCAGTTCATGAGCCACCCAAAGTCAGGCAGAGTGCACCTTTTCTCTTAATCTAGACTTTATCTCTTCATGAGTACAGAAATCCCAGACATATCCCTAAATTGTGAGAAATGTCTCATCTATCCAAATTTCAAATGACAAACTGGGGAATAAAAATATGGCAAAAATGAGACTTTTATTAACACTTTCAGGAGTGGACATCCATTTTACAGGATCACCAAAAACCTATGGGCCTTTTTTAGTTGGTTCCTTCTGTCTAGGGATTTTCTTAGAACCTGTGCTATCAGCCACATGCACCGCTCATATTCTTTGTCTCCCCATTCCCACATTCTGTTTACCCTGGGGAAATTTAGTAATGGTCTGGCCATCTACTGTTTCTTTAAAATTAAATTAAAGGAATGCTTGGAATTAGCTGGCCTTTGTTTAAAGTTCCTTGGGTAGCAATTTTTACAGGTTTTATACTTTTCAAATTAATCTTAGAATCTTAAAATTTTAACACAGCACAATAAAATCATAAATCAGAGAAAAGCAAATTAAAGTTACAATTCAGACACATAAAAAGAAATTTAACTAGCTAAGAGTTTCTGGTGGCCTGGGAGGGAAAGAAAAATATTTAATTTTAATTTTTTTTTTTTGCAAATGTAGTCCCTTATTCAATCTGGGCCACCACAAAGACAGACAGAAAGCACAGGGATATTTTTATTTCGCACCCCAGTGAAGAAAAAGATTTTTTAAGATAAAGGATTATTGGCAGTTTCTGAGAAATTCCTTTAATTCTTTCTACTTGATTCAGCCCACTACAAATAGTTTAGCCTCTGGCAAAATAAAATATGAAGTCACTTTCACTTTCGTAGAGTGTCTGCATCCAGCCATCAAGGCTGGGCAGCTGCGAGCAAAACCTTTCTTATTATCTGAGTCATCCTGCTCACAGTGATGCCTGTCCCGCTCTGGTTCAAACTGTAGCTCCTGCTCATAATTATGAGGTAAATCTTTATCAGGTGGGCTCTTGACTGTGTTTGCAAGAGCAACTGGGAGGTGGAGTTGGTACAGAGGGGGGAAAGTGGTATTTTTAGATTCACACCCCTCCACTGTAATGCTTAGACATTTTTAAACTCTTCTGAGCTGGATCAAGGCAAACAAATTAAAGATCAAAGTGTGAATGTAGGGATAGGAATCTTCTCTGGAACTTCTGCCATGTACCACTGCTTTCTGACCTTTTCCCCGGTTTCCTCTTTAGGAAACCAAGGTCAAGTTTCATTAACAAAACTTAAGAAATCAAGAATCTGCCTACACTTAACAGAACATTCTCTAGTTTTAAGCATTTGAGAGTAGATGTCTCTTTCCTGAGACCCTGAATATTCCATGTTTTACACCCAGTTTTTGCCTTATGCTCCTTGCCTTACTTCATGAGTTCCTTGTGTGCGCACTCCCGGAGCATTCCCCTTGCCTGACTTTTGAGAGTTCCCCAGTATTCAGTTCCTTGGATGTGGGCGCTAGATATAAATATTTATCTCTTCCGAGTCCATCATGGGTAGAGAGCAATCCGGTTTCTGAGTAGGGGTTACAGAGGGTTAAAAAAATGAAAGAGACACAAATACAGTAGGGAAAGCTGGGACTGGTTGGGACCACTGTCCTCTGATAGAAAGACAGGGACCCAGAGCCAATGCAGGGTGTTTATTTCATACAGCAAAAACCAGGAAGTTGTACCAAGGACAAAGGAGATTATGTGCATTCTGGTGGCTTCTTTGTAATGGTCACTTCATGTTTGTTTTGGTGCTTGGCTGGATTTAGATAACAAAACCCACCCCCTGGCACCTGAGCTGAAAGTCAAGCTGACAACACCTGCCTCTGGCAAGGTGTGTCTCCAGGACGTGGCTCTGCCAGTGCCACTGGATTCAGCTGACAATAATTAAAGAAATGTTCATGTGCCTTCCCAGGCACTCTCTAACATCTTTTCATTCTTTTATTTTTCTCTTTCATGGATGCCATGTTCTTTGAAATCTTGTTTAGACCAAGTGAATGGCCTTTTAGGCTTCCCTGCATGAATAGGGGCTCACTGTTTGAATGACAAAAGTTCATGTCACAGGGGTGGCGGGGGAGCTTCAGGACTTTAGAGGTGCTTAGGTGGGCATGGCCAAAGCAGGTTGGGAACCACTGGCCTCGCTGCTTCCTCCCAAGTGTGATGATGAGGGCGCAGGCAGCGCTGGCGGTGTGCACGCGGACACCGGGTGGGAGTCTGCGGGAACAGGAGCTCACCCCCAGCCGAGGCAGCGGGGGTGGGTGTGAGGAAAAGAAATGCCTAAGGAAGATGTCGGCCGTCTTTTCCTTCCCGGCGCCCCCCACGCTGCCGGTCCTTGGCATTTAATAAATGCTTAAGAATGATCGATTACGTAGCACAGCAGAAAGCCTTTCTTAGACATTTGTTCATCCCTCTTTTGATGACTTATTGCTCATAAATCAATCCTTTATTTTAACTTTTTAAAAATTGGTTTTAGAGAGGGAGGAAGGGGGAGAGAGAGAAACATCATTCCTGTGAGGGAAATCATTGATTGTTTGCCTCCAGCATGAGCCCTGCCGTCTACAGAGGTATATGCCCGGCCTGGGAATCAAACCATGGCTGTCCGGCTGCTCCGCGGGGCGTTCAGTCTGGAAACAGTGTTTCCGTGCAGACCTCGGAGACGTGGCCTCGCAGACTGCAGGCAGGGGTGTCACTGACCCAGATCCCCTCCCCGCCAAGCCATCTCTGACGGTTTAATTAAAACAAGGCGCGACTGGCTTTTGTCAGGCATGAACTGGGGGACTCAGATGTTCTACCTTTCGTGCTATTCCCGAGGCCACCAAAGCGGAGGGCGTGACCATCTGCTCCTTTGTTTTCTAGTGGAAGACAACAGTCTCTCCCAGAAGAAGAAGGTCACGGTGGAGGATCTCTTCAGTGCCGAGTTCAAAGTTCACGACCCCGAGGCCAAGTGGATCAGCGGTGAGTTCTGTGTCGGTGACGATGTGAGCGTCCCTTCCCCGCGCCCGGCCACCTGCTGACGGCCTGGCCTTCCTGGCCGCCTCTCATAGAGGCACACCCACTGCGCTCTGGCTGTGGCCATCCTGTTACTGCTCTAAGGAGATGTGTGTATCTGGTCTGGGGGCTGCTCCCTCATGGGACACGGGTCCTCCATGTCACCCCGGGAGCCATCCTTTCTCCCAGGGGGATGTGAGATGATCCTAAGCAACCAGCCCTGGCAGGCACACAGCCGAGCTTCCTTCCTCACTGTACCTGCCACTGGACTGAGGGCCGAGGAGCTGAAAGGTTCCCCCAGAACATAGCTGGATCTGAACATAACATAGCATAACATAACATAACATAACATAACATAACATAACATAACCAGAACATAACATAACTGACCAGGATGCCCCATGCACAGTTGCAGACAGACATTTCCATCAAACAGGACATAATCCATTTTTCTTGTTCACAGGGTTTTTAAACTACAAAACAAAATAGATCACAGGCAAAAGGGGGCATGTTCCTAACAGTGCAGGACTTGACGCATCTCCTCTTGCCGGGTCTGGGATGGGGGAGCCGTCAGGGAGAGGTGCCCACGGCTGGGCCAGTGCCCACTCCACATCCCTCCCATACTGCTCTCTCCGTGGGTGCTGTTTGCACTTAGACCCAGCCTCGGCGGGTGCACGGGAATAGACAGCCCGACGAGCCCCCGTGAGGAAACAGCCTGTTAGGTGGTGGCGGAGGGGCCAGGCCTCGTGTGCGGCTGAGGACGTGGTTTTCCTTGGATTCTGCGGGGCTGAGGGCCCGTGTCCCTGCTGGGCAGAGGAGGCCTGTAACGGCTCGGGGCCTGGTCTGTAGGGGTGCAAAGTCGGCTATGGGACAAAACAGTGATCCCCAAGGACAACCCTGACCCAGAACGCTCATAGGAGGCACAGGATGGTCTCCTTCTCAGGAAGACACACATAACTCACATGCTGCGTCACAAAGCTTTGTGCTTGGGGAGCACCTGTGGAAGGAGGAGTCCTCCTCTGTCCAAGCACCAGCAGCAGGAGGTGCATGTGGAACTGCAGGTGGCCCCTGGGAATGTAGTTAACCCGCCCCAGGCAGGCTGGGCTTCCCCGCTGGGCGCAGACCATGCCTCCATTGCTGGCACTCACACCAGCCTGTGTGGATAGAAAGGAGGCGGTCCTGTGTCCTCTGGCCGGAGCCGGCTCAGCCTTGGCCGGACGGCTCAGCCCTGGAGAAGCAGGGAGCACAGGCCTCTGCAGACCTGCCCGTGCCCTGCCTCGTTCCCTGCACCAGGCTTTGTATTTCGCACAGAATGCGATTCCGGCCACGTCTGCAGCTGCGGCCGCTGACAAAAGGCACGGCCGTGTTAGGTTAGCGTGAAGGGCGTCTCCGACCTGCTCGGACCCACAGCTCTGGCTCAGGGGCCTTGTCTCTGGACCTCGCATTGTTCCTAGGTTCTGCCTCTTCACCAGTTTCCTTCCTTCCAACCTCTCATCCATCCTCCCTTCCTTCCTTCGTGTTTGTCTTCTTTCCTTCCTTTCTGTTTTCCTTCCATCTTTCCTTCCTTTCTCTTTCTCTTCAGCTCTCTCTTTTCTTCTTACTGGTTCTCCCCATGGGGTCCAGACAAACATTTCAGTCTTACATGTTCCCAGGGGTCTGTTCTCTGCCTTCTGATTAGTAAACTTCTAGTCCTCCTTAAGTCTGCTGCATCGCCTCCTCTTCTTCGTTATCATTATTATCTTCACTTCATGTCATAGCATCATCATATCATCACCATCAACCACCATCACCTCCATCATCACCCTTATACCATCACCACCTTCACCTCCATAATCACCACCATCATCCTCTTTATCTTCATCACATCATCACAACCACCAACACCACTACCATCATTATAATAAAAGGGTAATATGCTAATTAGACGACATCTTCTGGATGTCAATCCGGGCGTCCTTGCTGACCAAGCCGGGGCCCGAGGGAAGCCAGCCCGGGTCCCGGGTGCCTGCCGGTGGCCGGAGGAGGAAGGGAAGCTGGTGCTGGCAGCGGGGGAGGGAAGGACTACTCTCGCAGGCATTTTCATGTATGGGGCCTCTAGTCATTACATAATCATACTGCGGGTTCCCATGTCTTATACTATAGATTAAGTGCTTTACACATATTAAATCATTTAATTCTCATAATCACCATTATCCCCATTTTCTAGATAAGGAAACCGAGGCTTACAATGTTTAAATAACTGGATCTGTATCACAAAGTTAGCAAGTAGCAAAGTTTTGACTTGAACCTGGGTTTCACTGGGTTTTATAAACTGTGCAACAATGGGTAGAATTCAGGTCTCCTGTCTCCAGACAATTTATTGCATAACCTCACCAGCTACCAGTGATATATTTAAACAAGACCACAGGTTTTGAATATTTTAGAATTACTTCCATCCCTTAAAATCTTTATTTTAGCATCCCCTATTCCCATACCTGTGTTGAACTAACACAATACATGATAAAGGAAAACGGTGTAATTTCCCACAAAGAGCCTTCCTTTCTTAGAGTGCACATTAACCACTGAGGGCTGCAAGGAGTCCAGGTTTAGATTGAGGCTAATCGTCTAGAACTAATATACCCGTTAGTCAGCAGGACCTGCGTTCACTGGGTTCGAGGAAAACTTCTCCTCGCCCAGCGATATACTAGGACTTCATTTTTTAAAACTACCTTTTCTGAAAGTGATTGGTACAGCAGCCCCCAGATTCTCTCACACACTGAGGGCTGCAGGCGTTCCTCAGCCCGTGTGGCTCCACTGGGCGAGCGAACGAGGCAGGAAGAGCAATAGAAGTGAGGCCACGGAAGGTCCGCCCTGAGCTAGGCCTACACCCGGAGCAATGCCAGGCCTCTCCACTCTCCCAGCCTCCACGGCTTCTTCCCATCCTGTCCATCTGGCCCGGCCAGAAGAAAGCTTCTCAGTGCCCCACAGTCACTTCTGCCTGCCCACACCTGCCTGTACTGCCCACCTGCCCACAGTGCCCACACCTGCCTGTACTGCCCACACCTGCCCACAGTGCCCACACCTGCCTGTACTGCCCACACCTGCCCACAGTGCCCACACCTGCCTGTACTGCCCACACCTGCCCACAGTGCCCACACCTGCCTGTACTGCCCACACCTGCCCGCAGTGCCCACACCTGCCCGCAGTGCCCACACCTGCTCACTGTGGAACTGAAGGCCTCAGAGCCGGTTGGCCGGGAGAGCTGAGGGTCAGTGTTTTCACTGTCTGTTTGACAGCGAGGGCGGAACACGGCTTTAAGAGAAAATGAAAGTCACCTGTGACTCCACCAGCGAGAATGACCACAGTGAACTGTTTGCACTTAGCCTTTCAGCTCAGTGATCCGTGGGGTGATAGTAAGTGTGAAATGTGGAAGCTTTATAACACAGATCCTGACACATGCGCCAGGCATTGGTAAGATTCCCGTTGTCATCTCAATGTCCCCTCAGGACGTCATGACATAATGTGGCTCACTGGGTCAGTCTGAGATACGGAGAGTGCAGGCAGTGAATGGAAGCAAAGGCAGAAAAGCCATGGGGCCTGGGGGCGGGGTGGGAGTGCGAGGAGCGGATCCTGCAGGCCCAGCTGAGCAGCCTGCAGCCTGGGAGAGGTCAGGGGAAGATGGCTGGGAGATGGTAAGGCCGGTCCACCAGCCAGGAGTCCACCTTCAGAGCGTCGTTCTGTGAACAGGTGATGAGGCAGAGGAAAAGCTGAGGAAAGATGACCACACGGAAATGTCCTCTAAGTCCTGAGAACTGAGAACTGGGCATGAACTGGTGAGAGGTCAGAGCCACTGGAGAAGTGTGGGAACGGAGCCTTTCTGGGGAGTTGCTGGGGGTCTCTCCGAGGGGAAGGGGGAGTGAGGTCCCTGGAAGGTCCCAGAGGCAGGGGAGAACCCCAGTGATGATCTGTCCAAAAAGGCAGGGGAGGAAATGACTTCAAAGAGCCCAGTGGGTGTGGCTCAGTAGTTGAGCACCGTCGGAGGTCTCTGTTGGATTTCCAGTCAGGGCGCATGCGGCTCAGTCCTCAGTGTGGGCGTGCAGGAGGCAGCCGATCAATGTTTCCCTGTCGTAATCGATGTTTCTCTCTCCCTCTTCTTTCCTCTCTTCGGAATCAATAGAAACATATTTTAAAAAAGAAGTCATCAAAGACAACTGTCTCTTGTGGGCACACCTTCCACATCACCCCACAGCCAGGCCGTGCTTTCTGCAGTCATTGGCACGTGCTGACTCAGATCCGGGTTCTGGGATGTCCTCTTCCTGACCCTGTTTAAAGGACAGTAGGAAAGCAGTAATTCCAGAAGATGGACTCAGACTTGTATGCAACGGCGCTCTGCGTCGCCCTCTTCCCCCGTGTAGACAGGGAACAGGCTGCTCCGTGTCCATGGAGTCGGTCACTCTTCCCCGGGGTCTGATGCCACAGTGCCTGGTGGCAGCCCCAGGAGGCACCTCTGACCAAGGCAGCCGGGCCGGCCCCTGGCGATGGCTGACAGCCCATGGACTGGACTCTGAGCCAGCCGAGGCCACTGCACCTCCCGTGTCCCTGGGGCACAGACAGGGCCTGTTTGCGTGTCTGCTGCCTGCGGGCAGGGCTGGGCTCAGCTCTCTCCTTCTCATGGGCATGCTCAGCGGGGCTGCCATGGGATCTCCCAGGTCTGTGTTTGGTTACGCTCATTCCCATTGATCCAGCCACAGCCACGTGTGAGCGGAGAGCCTCCGTGCCTCTGGCTGTAAAACTGGAGAAAATTGCTGCCTTTGAAAGTAGGAAAATAGCCGCCGGTTGGTCCCGGGAAAGCGGAAGATAAGATTGGAGATGGCAGCAGCTTGATTTCAGATTTGCTCTGTCATCTTCCTTTTTGATATTCTGCAATGCCAAACGGATTCTCCTATAAAGTTCTCAGGGTGAGACGGAGGGGACATCTGAGTGAAAAT